TTAAACCTCGTGCCTCTGAAGCTCAGGGCTCTGCATTGGAAGACGGACACCCAGAGGCCCGCCTAGCATCAAGTCGCCCTACATCTGTGGCTTGAAGGCATAGGCTTCCGATTGGCGTCCTGACCAGCTCGGAGCACCTGGCCTCGTTTTAACTACCTTGTCCCTGATCCTGTTCCTGTTTTTATTCATGTCTTGTCTTGGAGGGATCACCTGGTTTGGGATTTTGGACTGCGCACCTGATTTCCCCTTTGGACCATTTTGGACTTGTTTGCCTGCACCCCCCTCCCGGCACCTGGATCACTGTAGGCGCCGTCCCCTGTTCGCCATCCCTTCCGTTCCTCACCATGTTTTCCAGTCACTTCCAGATAATACCGTCTGCACAGGGTCCTAAACTACACACTTCACAGGAGTCAGGACCAGCTCCCGTTACACCCTGTGGTCCAAACACTGTGGCACCAGATGATAAGGCTGAACTCTGACCAGACCATGGACCATGCGAGGCCCACGCCTTTCTGTTCTCTTCCTTGCAAGCTCTGTGGTTGCTGTCTGATCTCCCTGCAGAGACAGCGGTCTTTGCCCACCTGATTCTCCGCAGTCCCTTCCACAGAGGAATGTGCCGACATAGCTCCAGCACTCCGCTGTCTCCCATCCGGATGCCATTCACCCTGCAGGGGGAAACAGCGCCCAGCGATCAGGACTGCACCTGCTTCATACGCAGGGTCTAAACTAGCAGCTGCCTTTCAGATCACCCACTCTATCTCCTCAATCCTGCAGGTCTTCATGGAGCTCAGCAGACTCAGGACCGTCGCACTTCTGCCCTCCGAGCTGGAGACAATCTTATTCAAGCTGGAATTAGAAAACAGAGACCTCAGCCACGGAGTTATAGTCTGAATAATCACATGTACCTTCTGTCCAAGTCTTATGGTTCGTGCAGGAACCCATGAGTTTGAAGGGAAGCAAGGAGTCACAGCTAAATCTAGTGAAGATTTGAGATGACTTTAATTGTGACGAAAACAGCCCCCTCTGTAGCACACTGAAGGAAACACACACACTGTGTACTTCCCACACTGTTGTAGAGGGTTTTATAGTTCAGGTCCAGACGTGTTATTGCCATATATGTGGGTTTAAGAGTAATCAATCCCCTTTGTGATCTGGTAGCTCTTCCTGATGATGCTATCCTGTGTTTCAGCTATTCCTGAGGTGTCACATAAAACAGCAGGTCACAGAGCAGTGGTTCTGTGGCTAAGGATCTGCGCCTGTGGCTGGAAGGTTGCAGGTTCAAATCCCGCAGCCAGTGGAGGAATCCTACTCCATTGGGCCCCTGAGCAAGGCTCTTAACTCCAACTGCCTGTGTGTCTGTGTGTCTCATGGAGAGCAAGCTGGGGTATGCGAAAAGACGAATTCCTAATGCAAGAAACTGTATAGGGCTAATAAAGTCATGTCATTTACCAAGCCGCTTTATCCCATATGGTGTCGCGGGAAGCCCGAGCCTACCTGGCCAGCAACGAGCGCAAGGCAGGGTACACCCTGGATGGGACGCCAGTGCAAGCCAATCATACATGGGGA